GGCAGACGCTTAACGACCGAGTCACCCAGGCGTTCCACTGTCAGATAAATCTTTAAAAAAATAAATAAAAAATAAAAATCATAGCTCTGATTAAGTTACTTACCGGGTCAAAACCCTTCAATGGATCTGCCCTACCTCCCTTAAAAAGCACAAACTTTTTAGCTGGGCATTCAAGAGCCTCCACAGAACAGACAGCATCTCTTGGCCTTCCCTTTATTCACAGTACCCACAACCTGGCCAAGCAGGAACATTCTTTAGGTGTTTTCACACTGATGTCTTAGCTCAAACATTCCTAACACGCACTTCTCCTTATATCTTCATGCTTCAGTCTTTCACTATTTTACTAATCTTAAATGTCCACTCAAAACTCCCAACTCCTCCATAGATTTTTTTGTTCCTGGATACCCTTCTTCCCCTGCCTCAAAGACATTCACTCCCTCTTCTAAATGTTCTTAGCGCTTGGTAATGACCCTTAAAGGCCTATGTTCTACAATATATTATGCCTATTTAGATAATCACCTTAATCTCCTTGCTTTACAAAAAGCTCCTTAAAGGTAAGGACGATTTCTTTAAAATCTCTGTAGCCCTTTTAACATCCAGTAGAACTTCTGAGTTTTGTTTGTGTTTTTTCTTTTAACTTTACAGCAAGTCATTTAGGAAATCTGGAAAGCCTCAGACATCCCTAGGCTATCATGCTAAACACCTAATGAAAACCTAGAAGGGCCTAAGTTTTTAAACAACTTGGATAAGGGATAGGGAGGAAATGACTCACAGAGAGGTTGACAAAAAGCAACTGCTTCTGTAGTTCTCAGGTGTTTTACACACCGTCCCCGGTAGCTGAGGGGTTAAATAGAAAGTCAAGATAACTGGATTCCAGTGCCAACTATGCCATTTACTCAGTGCCTTCCAGTCACTACCTCACTACCCACTAAGACTTTTTTCATCTGTCCAATGAGGGACTTCAACTAGAAGATCTCCAAGTTCCCTTCCTTAGGCATCCTGTATTTCTACAAAACAGTCTACCTTTTCCAGGCACCCAAACCCCTGACAAGTCTTCCAAGCTTCACCTCAAGCCTCACATCCTCAGATTCCTTCTTCTCCAAAAACTCTGGTCCTGCCTGCTCTGGGCTACTTCAGCACCTTCGATCCTTGTAATCAAACCGAAGTCACAAACTGTGCTTGCCGCTCCACCACTGATATGAAAGTAGCCTCGGGAAAGGCAATGCATTCTGCTTAGGCAGAAGGTGGGCTTCCTCCTCCCGTTGCTGTTCCATAACAGGAGCGCCCAATGATCCACAGGAGAACTATGTCCCTAAGGTTGCAGCCTGAGTCTCTCCCGCCCGGGTTCCCTCCTTTCCAGGACCAAAGGGTTTTCTAAGACGCAACCATAGCCCTCCTCACCCAGCAACTCGAGGTTCATCCCTGAGGACTCCGGCCGCCTGGTCTCAGCTCCAGGTACGACGCCTTTTCCCCCCGCCTGTTTCTGAGACCTGCGTGTAAGTGGGGGGCGCCGCAAATAGCTTAGCGCAAGCTCCGGAGACTTTCTGGTTTAGAAGACCCCGCGGCTTCCGCTTTCTTCCCCCGCCTTCCTTGTTCGTTTCGAATGGGCTGTCCATATAAATGCCTAATCAAAAAAAAAAGAACAAATTCCTCGGAATCATTTCAGGACGCTATTGACTAAGGGACAAAAATGTTATCGTCACTTAGTACTTTAAAAAGTGCAAGAATTTGAAGCCGTTTTCTCCCGAGTCATCTAAGTGAGCTAGAAATTTCAGGCATATAGCTAGACTACTAGTCCTGGCGGTGTTGTGTGTTCAGGGGCGATGTCCGGGCAGGCTGCTTCCGATGCCGCAGGAAAGGTTCCGGGCAAAGTCCGAGGGATGTAGGAAAGCGGGAAGGGTCCGCCCGCAGTGCTCCGGGGTGGAGCGGAGCTATTAGTCCTCAAAGCGCGTACTCATCAGTGTGTGGGCTTCTTGCTGTGTATGTTTCAGTCTCGTGAAAATTACTTCATATTTGTAAGGCTATGCCTTTGGTCCCACGGAAATGTACGATAGCATTTGTTAGGCCTCTATCTAAGGGTTTACAGTGTACCCAGCATTGAGCAGGACGCCGAAAACGAACTGGAATGAGAGGTGGGCTGAGGTCCCCGGAGCTCTATCAGACGGGACTGTGATGAGATACACAAAGCAATCAGAGAAGGCCAGTTGGTGGTTTCTAACGAAGAGCAAAAGCTACATAAGCAAGTTTCGACTATGGGTTCAGAGGGCTATCCTAAGAAGGAAAATAATGGCGTAGGCTTTCTGGAAAAACAGGACTCGAGCTACATGCCCCTGTGTAGATTTAATGTCCGTAATCCCAGCTCCACTCCTTGGTGACCCCGCCCCTTGGGCAATGTTTTATTTTATGTAAAAATGTGGGTGATACTGAGAGGACCCGCAGGATTATTGTGAAGGTTAGATGAGCTAACGCATACGAAGCCCTTAGAACAGCAAGCGCCCTGTAAAATGTTAGCTATTATTATTTACAAATCACTTTACCCAGAATTATTTCACTTCTTGAGGCCCTTAAGGTAGATCTCAGCCCCATTTGACCAAATTCAGTAATTGAGGCTCAGAGACAGGAAGCAGTTTGCGTTTGCTCACAAACCCAAAACGTGGCGAAAACGACGTCCCAAAATATCGGACTACCAACAGCCGTAACTAGGAGTACTTCTGCACGCTCTTGTAATCATTCGTTGCTATCAGTTCTCTCAAACTCTGCCAGTTGGATAGGGGGAAATGTCTTTGTTACATTTATTTCGTGATGAGCATGAGCAACTTTTCACATGTATCAATGTGTCTTTTTCTCTTCTGTGAGGTGGCCTGTTCATGAACTTTGCCTGTTTTTCGGATGCAGTATTTGTCTTGTAGGATATTTAAACGAGGAATAATGTGATCGGATCGATGTTTAAGAAGGAAAACAAGGACAGTGTGAAGTAGGATTGATTTGAGGAGTAGAGAGCAGGTAGGAGATCACTGCAGTAATCCCGTGGAGAGATGAGGAAGACCTGACCCAAAGCCACGACAGAGGGAAAGAGGAAGGCAGTGCTTTCAAGAGAAGGGTAGGGGACAGAACTGATAGAGTGGGGAAGATCTTTTGTATATGGAAAGCAAAGAACGTCAGGAGACTGGCTCAACTTCCATGTTTCTAGTTTGATGGGGGACTCCGTTTGACAGGGCAGAGAATGCAGGAAAATGAACAGCTTTGGCAAGGTAGATGGAGAGTCCAGACTGGGACATGTTAAGTTTTTGGATTTTTTTTTACAGAGGTATGCTCATTTTTTTTTTTAAGATTTTATTTATTTATTTGAGAGAGAGAGTGTGTGTGCAAGCAGGGGGAGGGGCAGAGGGAGAGGGAGAAGAAGGCTCCCCCCTGAGCAGGGATCACTATGATGCGGGGCTCCATCCCAGGACCCTGAGATCATGACCTGAGTCAAAGGCAGACGCTTAACCGACTGAGCCACCCAGGTGCCCCATGGGACATGTTAGGTTTAAAGAGCCTGTGAGAAATTCAAATGACTATCCTGACTTGGAGTTCAAAGAAGAGGTTTAGGCTAAAGATCTACTATACTTCATCAATTCTGATATGCACATGTCCCCACATTTAAAAATCTATTCAATTGTATCTCGTAATTATTTAGCAATGGGCTTTTTCTTATTTTTTTTTTTAAAGATTTTATTT